GAGTTATTCTAGATAAGGGTTAATACACAGATCATTGTTCTATTTGTCCTTGCTTTTCTACAGTTTAAATAATTTTTCTGCTGACCATTCTCATGGCTACTGCTTAGCTCTACTCACAGTTCTGGTGTATCTGAGGCCTGCCTTTTGCAGCTTTCCCAAACCCTCTGATTTTGTGGATTCTCACATTTCTCCTCTGCAGATCATCATGTACCTGCTGTCCCGCATCCTGTTCGGGCTGTCCCGGCTGGCTGTGCAGAAGGGCTTCATCCCCCAGCCCAGGCAGGATCCCTTCCCTCTGCTGGCTGCCCTGGTGTGGGGGACAGTCCTGTGGCTCTTTGAGTACCACAGGGACACTCTGCAGCCCTCCCTGCAGTCCTCCATGACCTACCTGTACGAGGACAGTGAGGTGTGGCACGACGTGTCTGACTTCCTCATCTACAACAAAAGGACACACAGCAAGTAGGTGCTTCCCTCTAAACCACCTTGGAATGGGATGGGACCTCCCAGCAGCTGGGAGGAAAAGGTTATTCTGTTGCTTTTGACCTGTGGTTTTTTAAAATTAACATCTGTCAAGCAGAGTTGGCTCTTATCTCCAAGCCTGAATGTTCTGAGCAGTTTTTTGGCTCCTTTTAGAGCAAGCTCAACCCCCACAGAAACTTGTTGCAGTCTGGTTTTAAGAGGCCTCATTTTCCCTACAAGTGTGGCATTGGGGTTTGTTCTTTAAAAACTAAATATATTTATAAAATGACAGCCTGACACTAAGTGGAGAGTGTGAAACCATGTTCTAGGGCTCATCTGAATGTGTACAAGTGTTTTTTTCTGTGCTGGTGGGATTGAGGGTGAAGGGAGTGTGGGACTTGCTGAGCTCTGAAAGCAGGGCCATCATTTCTTCATTGCTGTGGATGGCTGAGAATCCTGTTTAAACTATTATAAGGACAGTTATGTGCTCCTTGAGAGAGTTCCTGTGCAGTTTTCCCTCAGGGAGACAATAAAATGTGTGAGAATTGAACTGTTAGGATTGTCTTGTACCAGCCTGGTAAATCAGGCTTGCAAAGACTATTTTTGCTTGGTTCCTTTCCTGCACTTGGGCTGAATCTGTGCCTCTATGAAATGCACTAATGAATACCCTGTAATTATTTTAAACTTGTTTGTAAAGCTTTTAAAAGCTGCTTGAACTAAATACCAAAAACAGTTACACAACTTGGGCTCCTCTATGACCAGGCCTCTGATCTCATGCTGGGGATTTTGTGTGTCTAAAGGAGCAACATTTCCCAAGCACTTTTATTTATTTTATTTTGGTGGAGCATGGCAAGGGTTTCTCTGAGTCCAGAATCTGCCTTCCACAGCTGTGGAAAGTGTTGGCTGTAACCAGATTTGAACCTGATTTTGTACCTGTAGTTTGTGCAGGCTTAATTGATTAATTTAATTGATTAATTTATTAATTATCTTCCTCTCAAAAACACTCTGCTGAGCCCCAGGATAGGGCAGCACACCCTGGGTTATGGCAGCAGATAGCTGAGAAAGCACAAAAAGTGGTTTCATTAATCAATTAATAAATTCAAACTCCTCATAGTGCAAAGCACTACACAATTCACTCAATGATGTGCAGTGAAATAATTCCTGCTTTGATGGGGTGATGTTTCCAAGAGAATCATGAAATTCCCTGCTCCCTTTTGGCTCAGTTGGGACTGTTGGGTTCCCTTTCCCTGTACCCACCTGCTTTTTCCTGACCTGCCCATGGTATTTCATAATCCTGCTGATGCTCTTGGAACTTTTTACCCTCCAGGCTCTGGCAATTTCTCCTATGGTACAGCTGGAATGGCACATTTGACTTCAGAGAGCTTCTGAGTAGAAAAAAATTCACAATTTCTTCTTAAGTCATTTTTCCTTGTCGTCCTAAACTCCTTTATTACTGTTGCACATATTTGCAGTGCTGCTTTGCTTTATTTTTCCCCTTTTATATTTTTGCTTTTCTTTATTTTTCCCTTTTTATTTTTTTGCTTTTCCTTATTTTCCCCCTTTTCTTTGTCCATGCAAACCCATGATGTCCATGGTGCCCAAAAACCAAGAGACTTCTTTGTCATA